TCTATGGTTTTAACCATTAACCTTATGTGGATGATTGCCAAACTCATCTTTTTAGGTAGCCCAAATGGATTAGCCAAATTCTAGCTCTTTATTTCAGCAGACTGTGAGCATTTTTCCCTCCGACATTCCATAATCCTTTAGGATAAAATTTCTAAAGCTAAGTCCTACTTCAGCTCTTTCTGGGGAGTCAGGAAAGGGGAGACCCTGAAAACAGCGGCTCTTGCTGACATCCCCACTGGTGTTAACTGATCCACTTCAGCTCCACACTTAGATTTATAGATAATCCTTTCCTCTCAGATCTCACATAACCCCCATTACCAGATAAAGTCAGCTCTTGGTTTATAATCCCTTCCCACCTGTTCCTTCTTGCTACACTCACCCTAAGTTATGCCTAGATAAAGTCTGCTAACTATTCTCAATGCTTCTCTTACCCTATCCATTCTGTACCATTATGTTGTCTAATTCAATTCTTTCTTCTTATTCAAAACCTTAAATGATTCTCTATTGCTTGTAAAATAAAATAAACATTTTTTAGCTTATCATTCAGAATTGAAAATAATCTGACTCCAACATACTTATGCAGCCTCATTCCTCACTCAACCCCCCATTTATCTTGCACTGTGACCTAACTGGAATTTTCCCTGGCCATACCATCCTGTTCCTGAACCTTTCATCATAATATAATGGCTCTCCACACCTCCCCTTCTTTCAATTTCTTGCATCACTGACACTTTTTAAAAACCTGTCACCTATTCAAGGCTGAGTAAAATACATCTGCATCTACTAAATATTCTCTGATGTCACCCCTGTGCTATGTAGTTTATAGGCATTGTGTGTACATTTATTACCTATGTGCAAAGAGAAGAGGACCAAAGGTACTAAACACCTAATATGCACTGGTTGCTGGGCTAGGCACTATCATCTCATTGAATCCTTACAATTCTATGGTGCTATTGTATCAACCCAAGATGGCACAACAAGGTTTTGAAGCGAGGGGCCTACCCTAGGTGGTCTAAATTGAAAAATAAAAGCAAAACAAAAAAACAAAATAAAAACCCAGAAATAGAGTAGAGTAAACAAAGAATAAAAGGACTCTGTGTCTGTAGTTCCATTATGTTAATGGCACTGATAAATTCAGGTCATGTGGCTCTACTTAGTGGACGTATCTAATTTGCACATCTAGGTCCACAGTTCCTTTAGGGCTACTTCCTCTCACTCCTTACCCAATGCTCCTTTTCCTGGTTCACTTTTACTTGTCATTAGGGTCTCAAATGAAACATCATTTCCTCAAAAAAACCTTTCCTGGCCCTCCCTTTGTCCCCACCCAGGTCTGGTGCTTTGTTATGTGCTCTCACTGTACTTTGTACTTTTCCTTGTGTAGGTACACTTCAATTATTCATATAGTTACGTATTTTATTACTTGTTGATATCCAGGAAATTGCTTATTAATTACTAAAGCATGAACTAATTTAAGGGTGGATACCATTTCTCTTTCCTTGACAAGTGTATCGCTGAAAATATTCCCCACCATCACTGAAAATACTCCCTTTGTGGTGAATTAATGAATGGAAGGATTGATAGGTAAATGAACAATTCTTAAAACTCTCCTAGTCTAGATTTCTGAGATTGGCACCCCAGGAATGATAAATTTATGCGGGGGAAGCAGAAATTTGTAATTGTCTAATATCCTTTTGTTACTAACTCCTAAAACTATCAGCATACTACCTGTCCCTATAGATTTCAGCTTAGAGATTTCCTTCCTTTCTTTCTTTCTTTCTTTCTTTCTTTCTTTCTTTCTTTCTTTCTTTCTTTCTTTCTTTCTTTCTTCTTTCTCTTTCTTTCTTTCTTTCTTTCTTTCTTTCTTTCTTTCTTTCTCTAATTCTAACAAGAAATGTGTCTTTAATATGCTTGGCATAGCTGCCTCTGAAGAGTTAGAAAATGTTAAATAATACAACACAACATAAATAATACAAATAATGACAGTACTGCGTTGTTAACATTAAGCTGATTCATTTAAGGACTGGCAGCATCAAGAGTTGTTTCTAAGAACTTTAACACTTGAAGATCCTATAGATACCCAGTAAGTATTAATTGTCTGAACAGTACTTACAACCTATGAGAAATTTGTTTTCCCACATAGCTATTTTCATCTGAGGTTAAACACAAGCCACAATGAAAGGCCTTTGTTTGGGTGCCGTGTGATTCTCTTGGAACGATACCGAGATGTCAAGATGGTATCTCTAACACGGTGGATTTACACAGCACCATGCTTCACAGAAGCTTAATTGTGTTGTTGTTTTAAAGACAAACTTGTGCCAAAGACCTGGCATTCTGCAGAGGATGCCAGATGGTTACCCTGGAAAGTCTCTTCTCAGAAACAGGTGGGTGTTCCATCTCACTATCCTGCCCAAAGGCAAAGCCTTAGCTCTGGACTATTCAGGGAGTTCTCAGGGAGAAGCACTTTTCTGACAAAGGAAGACATTTTTCTTTCAGTGGTGCCGAGTACATAGTAAGCACCCAAAGATACTATTGATTGCTCTTTTAAGTTAAAAATCAGTATCTCCTGCCCAATTTTATTCTGGAACATCAGCTTCCAACTGCCCGCTCCCCATCTCTTCTTGAATCTCTGTTACTTAAGAGTCAAAGCAGAACTATTGATTCTTATCCAGCCTCCCAACCCATGCCCTAGGCCAAATCAGCTCCCATCCAAGGCTTTTTTCATCCTCTGTAAATGGCACCACTGTCCACCAAATGGTTCAAGATCAAAATGTAGGGGTTCTTGTGGATTACTCTTGCTCTGTAACATCCCACTCAAATCTATTAGTAAGTTTGTTAATTCAACCTCCAAAATATATCTCTAACTCAGTTAAAGCCTGCTCTTTGACTGATTCCACTGTAGCCTATCAGCACCCTCTCTTGCCTAATGGCCTCTTTTCTTCCACTCTTGTTCCTTTCAAGTCCATTTTTCACATAGCAGCCGGGCGAGCCTTGTAACAGTGCAAACCAGATCATTTCATTCCCCTGACAGCTTCCACAAATATTGAGAATGAAAGCACATTCATTACCCCCCAGCCATAAGGTCTTACTGATCTCCCTTTGCCAGAGGAGGGAATCTTATCTGCTACACTTTTTTCCCACTCACTCACCATTCCCCAGATACATGGGCCTTGACTTTGAACCGCCAACACACTGAGTGATTCCAGGTTCATGGGCTTGGCACTTGCTGGTCCTGCTGTTTAAAATTTACACCTCCCAGATCTACGTGGGACTTACTCCTTGTCTTTCAGGTCACAGTTCAAATAACACCTCCTCAGATTGCCCTGCCTCCTTTGCTTTCAGTCACATTACCCTATTTTATTTTTTCATACAACTTGATTATATCTAATAGTATTACTTGCTCACATGTATTTGTTGCATGCCTCCCCACTAGCTTATAAGGTCCTTGAGCTCAGAGACTGACTCGGTCACTGCCGAATCCCTAACATGTAAAATGCACATAAGGCCAGTTTGTCTCAGTGGGACCAGACATCTTCCTGAGTCCTGATTCTGAAATTTTTAGGTGGTATTTGAATACCACCTCAGCTTTTATTTTCAAGCTAAGCCTGAGTGCACCTGGGGAAGCCGCAGCTCCAGGCACCCAAACACCTCTCTTTTGTCAGAGTATCTCTGTTTCAATCTGCTTAATTTTTAAAAAATCTAACTGGCTCCCACAAAGGAGATTCTGACAAATAAGATTCCACTAGTGCAGGGTTGCCTGGGTGGCTCAGTCAGTTAAACGTTTGCCTTCAGCTCAGGTCATGATCTCAGGGTCCTAGGATGGAGATCCTCACTGGGCTCCCTGCTCAGTGGAGAGTCTGCTTCTCCCTCTGCCCTTCACCCCTCCCCACCAGCTCATGATCTCTCCCTCACTCTCTGTCTCTCAAATAAATAAATAAAATCTTAAAAAAAAAAAAAAAGGATTCCACTAGTGCAAATGAATGTGACTGCTTAATGCATATATTTACGAACATTTAAAAGTCCTCTTCTGAACCTCCAAAAACATAGATAAGGTGCATTTCTTGTCATCTATACTTCTCCCTGCTTTCTGGTCCCACTGTCACTACCCTATTAAGATCCCCACCTCTTACTTTGGCCTGGATAGTATCTGGAAATGTCTCTGTCTCCTTTTCTGTCCCTTCTGCCAATTCCTTCTTCACCCGGCTGTTAAATTAACATCACTCCTCCCAAGCCCAGATCTGAGCTGTCCCACCCCCGTTGGCTGTCTGTGCCTCCTGCCCTCATTTACGCTCAGCAGCCTGGACTGACGCCACCTCCCTTATCTTACTCTTCCTTCAAAGTCTCTGTGCCCTGCATACCCTTCACACCAGCCACACTTGACTATTTCTCAACGTGGCCTGCAATTTTCCCTTCTCCTGTCTGGCTGTGCTCTGGCCATTCCTCACACCAATTCTTTCCCCTCAGACTTGCCAATTGCAAGCCCACCTTAAGCTGCCCCGTTGCCCACGCCACCTGCCTCACCTCACCTCACCCTTAAGACATCATCTCTCTTCCTTTGTGCCCACAAGTCTGTTAGGACTACTGTTGGGACACTAATCACGCTTTTGTCCTCTCTGAACTGTGGAGACTGCCTACACTGACGGGGAAGGATATGATTTAGAGCAGAGGATTCAGTGCCGGTCCCACCTGAAATATCTTCCTCTCAAAGCTGTTATGGGTGTTGATACAAGTGAAAATAATTTGGAAGCTAGAAATGTGAAGTGTGCTTATTCCTATTTGCTACTTGTGGGCAGGGACCATTTCTATTCATCTTTGTACCTAACCTTCGGCCCCAACGCATGCCAGTATCCAGCAGAGTCCTTTCTCTTCAGCGCACTACTGAGAAAAAGAGGAAGGACCCATTTGGACTCATACTTAATAAACTCAACTTGAACTTTCAAGTTGCTCAGAAGAGCTCTTTCTGACCTGGAGGGAAAAATGACCAGAAGAAAAGTTTTAGGCTATTTATTAACTGCTTTATTTGAATAACAGATTATTTGGGGGTAAGTCCAGGTGAACCTCTGAAGTTAGCACTGTTCTGGATCTTTCATGTGCTCTCAAAAGTCCAGCCCCCAGTTTGGGGGATGCCCAGCCCAGGAGTTCTTTGAGGCAGAATTTGAATGAGACAGTTGCATTAAGGCATGTAGAGGTTTGTCTGATGGCCAGGGTGTATGGTTTATTTCCAGAAGGGGGGCTAGACAGGAGGAAAAAAATATGGGATCCCTAAAGTAAGTCTCTGTGGAGAAGTCTTGAAGGATAGTCCAGTCTCTGCAACAAGGCTTGGATGATGCAGGGAGTAGATGTTTTTAGGGGGAAGCTGTGATTGGCTTTCCTCTGACCCGGCTCCTTTCCAGTCTTGTAGTGTTGGATCACCATGGCTGGCCAATCAGGTTGTGCACTGAACAAGAATACACACAGAAAGATATTATTTACATAGCAAATTTGCACATACTATTTTTTTTTGGTTTGTGTTTTTATTTTTGCAATTTTTTGCCAAAGGAAAACCAAGCGTCTTAAGAAAGGGATGTCTTTTTGTTTGGAACTAGGGGAGGACCTGACAGGGCACCCTAGAAGGGGAGGGCTGTTAAGAGTGGAAAGAACTATGCCACTAAGAGCCCAATGGTTCTGCATTAACATTCCTTCAAAAAAGCTGGTTTGGGGAAGTAGAAGGAGTTTCCCTACTTGTCATGGTGGAGAAAAGTGCTAGAGCCCAGTGGTCCAGAAGTGATTGACAGAGGCCTATAAGCAGCAAGCAGAACAGAGCAGATGCAGGTCAACAGGGGAGTGTGGAGGTTCCCAGTCCTGGTTAAAACCACTACTATTTGAACACATACACAAAGAGATCATTACTATTTCCCTCTACCCATCTAGCCTGCTTTCCCTAAACTCTTTAAAGGCAAGAAATGAGTCTTAGACATATTTATCCCCTGAGAACCTAGCACAGGACCCCGTGCATAATATTTACTCAGATGGTTGTTTGATGGATGCCCATGGGTTTTATAAGTTTTATCCAGGAGGCTTCATATATCCCATTTTCTCTTCATTCCTTTTGTGTTTTCTTCTCAGACTTGGGGCATCGTCACAAGTAGATAATATGTTCAATAAACAATATAAACCTTCTCTCAATACAGAAGTTAGAAAATATCATGGCAGGAGCCTCCAGGTGGCTTTCTTTCCAGGACCAGTTTTTCCCTCTTTCCTGCATTTCCGAGTCATCAGAAGTACTTTCCTAACACCCTAAAATTCAGGATGCTGATCAAGTCGTGAAGAAGCTTTTCTTCTAACCCTGCTGGGTATAAAGGACTGCATTTTACTCTGGGAAGGGATTCAAAGTCTTTCCAAATAAATGACCTGCTTGTCTAGCTGTCAAAATGTGGAATTCATTGGCAGTCTTACCATAGCCCTAATTCAAGTTTATGTGCCAGAAACGGAACTTCTGCCTTTCAGATTCAAGAAGGTCTTCAGACCTTGGCCGTCTTGCACAATATGGAACTACTATTAGAGCAACTGAGGCTATTTACAGTGTGTTTAAATAATGTAGTGCAGAGAATAGGAGATTTGAAAGTCTGGCTGGGAGCTGGAGAATCGACTTCCATAAATCTAAGCCCCAAAAAATACCTTTTTTGTTCAAATGTTGGAAAGAATTTTGTCGACCTTTTTGCTTCGTTGAGATTTCTTTAAGTTTTCCTGGTAACCAGAAACAAATTTCACAATTTGTGTCACATTTGGCTCCTGTTCCGAGAGGGAGGGGAAAGCTGGTTGTTATTTCAGTAATCCCTGAACAGCAGAGAATGGAGAATTCGGCACCGAGGAAGCCTGCCAGCAGGCAACGCTGCCAAACCAAACAGGAATCAGTGTGGACAATAGGAAGATTATGTGGTGGAAAACGGATACCCCAAATTGAGGCAGGAAAGCCATGTCAATTATATTTAGAAGCAGCATCTCTCCTCCAGGTTACAAAACCATCCCTCCAAGCATTTAGAAGATGTTGCTGTTTCACCAAAAGCTCACCCACAAAAGGTCAATGGGAGAAACTGAAACACAGTGCTTTTTCTCTTATAACTTCCTGTGTGCCGTGGTATCTGGCCACGAATCTTTTCAAGACCACTGTGTCCTTTCATTCACACTAGATCAGGCCTTCCAGTGTTCCCGAGAGAGGAAGTGGACAGAGCCCCCGCTGCTAGGAGCAAATGCAGAGGGCTCAGCCATACCCTCCAGCAGGTTCTCTCTGGGCAAGGCCTGGTGAAGGACCTGTTGCTCACCTTCCTTCCTGCTTCTATTTTGACCTGCAGGGGAAGACGAACACAAACAAAATGAAAATCAAACAAAACACCTGGGTTTTCCAAGCCACTGAAGCCCCAGTGGGTACCTCATGGGGTAAGCCCTTATGATGACTCCTAGTGGCCCGGGGCGGGGGGGTGCCCTCTGGTCTGTCACTGTTGTAAGTTGAAGGCAGAGTGGCTTCCATCCATTGCCAGCCAGTGGCCAGGCTTGGCCAAGTGCCCTGCTAAAAAGTCCTTTCAGCAGTGCGCTCAAGGCTGAAAAGGGACTTCGGGTGAGTGAGGTTCTGTGTCCCTGAGTGTGAACGATTCTTTGATCCCCATCTCTTCTTCTTAAAAAAGCATAATCGAACAAATAATTTTTCAATAAACAATCCAAAGTACAACAAATAATATGACACTGGTACCAATCAGCAAGATGTTTAGGTGTTAGTGTTATCAGAAACAGACCTTGCTAGTTCATGTGTTTGTTTTTATTTTATTTTTGTTGAAGATTTTATTTATTTATTTATTTGTCAGAGAGAGAGAGAGAGAGCACAAGCAGGGGGAGCGACAGGCAGAGGGAGAAGCAAACTCCCGCTGAGCAGGGAGCCCGATGCGGGGCTCGATCCCAGGACCCCAGGATCATGATCTGAGCCGAAGGCAGATGCTTAACTTACTGAGCCATCAAGGCGTACCTGTGTGTTTGTTTTTAAAGAATTGAAGCTTTATAAAGCTATAATAAAGCTATAATAAAGCCCCACCTTCATCCCTTCCTTTCCCAGAGGGTACTTCCTAAATTCAGTTGGCATGGATCATTCCCAGATGATTTTTAGAACTTTTACCATGTGTTCTTATTCATAAGTATATATATATGTATATATATATATGATCTTGCATGTTTTTTAAATTTACATAAGTGATGTATTTTATATATCTTTTTTCCATTTACTTTGTCCTCAACCCAATGTTTTTGAAATATTATCAGTGTGAATATTGATAAATCTAGCTGTAAAGTTGTTTAATATTCCTTTAAATAAAAACATCTTTTAAAAACCTAATCTATTCAAGGACAGGCATTTTTCCCCACTTTTTTGTAGTACAAAGAATATAATCAACATGCTTGCACGTTCATCTCAGCATGCATGTCTAGTGTTTACTGAGGCAGACTCTCAATAAATTGGAGGTACTATTGCTGAACCGTAGTCCAATTTAAACTTTACCAAATATTGGCAAATTGCTTCCCAAGAAGGTTGCACTAATTTACAGTCCCACATAATGTGTAACATTGCACCAAAACTTGGGTGTCAACAGATTATGTTTTGCTGATCTGATGATTTCAAATGGTACTTCACTGTTTTATTTTTCAATTCCCAGATAACTAGTGAAGTTAAGTGTATTTTCATATGCCATTGTCTGTTTGTGCTTCTTGTTTTTTAAATTGCCTGTTCATATGCTTTGCTTACATTTCTACTGTTATTGTAGGGATTCTTTATAGAGTTTGGGATTTATATGTTGTTCCCACGGATTTTCCCAGTCTATGACTTGCTTTATTACTTTGTTTACAGTAAATTTTAATTTTTAATGTGATTAAAATTTACTTTCTAATGTAGTTAAATTTATTAATTTCTTTCTATGTTTTATTAGTGTTTTATGATTTTTGAAAAAAGAAAACATTTCTTTAGTTCTATATGCTAAGGATTCTTCCATGCTTTATTCTAAGGTTTTCGTTTTTGTTTTTAATTTCAGTCTTCATGCCCATCTGGGAATGTGAATTTTTGTATCATGGGGCTTAATTTTATCTCTTTCCATATGGATAATCAATTATCCCATATGATTCATTGAAGAGTATGCCCTTTCCCCACTGTTTTATAATATCACGTGTCATATTTCAAAATTCCTTATATTTGTGGATCTATTTCTAGATACTCTCATTGATCAATTTTTCTATACTTTTAAAATTGCAATAGTTTTATCAAAAGTCTTATTATGAATAAATTATTTATCTTTTTCCTCCATCCTTTCCTCCTACTACTTTTCTTTCTCCTAGATTTTATTGGCTTTTGTTGGCCTTTTAGTCTTCCATAAGATTTCAGAATCAGCTTGTCCAGATCTTCAAAAAAATCTTGGCGAGAAGATGACTGCAATATATTGAATTTATGAATTAATTTGGGGAAAATTGACATCTTTATAATATTGAGTGTTTCCATCCATGGAGATAATGTATCTCTCCATTAATAAGGTCTTCTGTTATGTCTTTCAAAGAACTTTTATAAATTTTTTAAGAAATATTGCACACTTTTATTAGATTTATTTCTAGACAGCTTATCAACTTACTAATATAAAATATATCTTCTAAAATTATATTACTGACTATTTGTTGCTTTTTTATACTAATGCAAATAGTATTTTTATATTATACACAGTATCTTAATAAAATCCAAAATTCCTTGTTTGTTCTAATAATTTGTATAAGTTCTAGGCTTTTCTATGTGGACAGTAATGTCAATGATGAAAGTTTTGTTCTGCCTTTCTAATCAGTATACCTGTTCCCTCTTCCTCCATTCCCATCTGTACCATCAGAAAAGAGACAATGATAGCTGGAAAACTTTCTCATTCCTGATTTTTTTAAATAGCCTTTATTTTTTTTTTTAAGATTTTTAAATTTATTTATTTGACAGAGAGAGAGAGACAGCGAGAGAGGGAACACAAGCAGGGGGAGTGGGAGAGGGAGAAGCAGGCTTCCCGCAGAGGACCCTGGGATCATGACCTGAGCCAAAGGCAGATGCTTAATGACTGAGCCACCCAGGCGCCCCTCATTCCTGATTTTAAAGAGCATGGTTTTGTTTTATTTTTGCTGTTAACATTCATGACAGATTTAAAAGATACCTTTTAAAAATATTCCTTTTTTTCTAGTGTGCTAGTAATTTTTCTCTTTTTATGAATTTTTGCTTGTTTGTTTTTCTGTACTTGGTTTTCTTCATTTGTTAATGATTTGTTACTTCTCCCTCTAAACTGTCAATATTGTGATGTATTAATAGGATATCCAGATTGAATACTTAATCATAATGTATGCAGGGCTTGATTTTCTAATATTTTATCTAGTATTTTTGTATTTATGGTCATAAGAAAGATTGGACTGTAAGATTTTATTTTATTATTTTCCTGTAGTGTCCTTTTCTAGTTCAGGTATGAAATTATACTGGCCTCGTTAAATGAATCGGGTTACTTTTCCTTTTGTTCTGATCTTTGGGAGAGTTTATATAAAATTTATGATCCATTCAGTGGAGGCTTGGGAGAATTTGCATATAAGCCATTTTGGAATGGAGGATTTTTTAGGGGGATAGATTTTGATCCATTCATCCATTTTTTTTCTCTTCTTAAGTCTATTTCTTCTTAAGTCAGTTTTGTTAAGTTATAGTTTTCTAAGACAGACTTTCTTAATTCATTGCAGACCAATATTTTTGTAAAATATGAAATTATGTGCTTTGATGTTGCAATGGTATAAAAAATGCTTTCATTGGTTCTAGGTACTTACTCTCAATTTCTGTACTTACTTCATCTCAGACTGGTCACAAATAATTTGCAGACCAGTCAGCTGACCACATTTTAATTGGCACTGTTCAGAAAATCATCCATTTGTCAAATTTCTCAAATCCATTAGCATAGAGCATTGTTTGTAATACTCTGATATTATCTTTAAACATTGCTACTGTTTGTGTAGTTACGTTGTTTGCTCAATCCTAGCAACAGAATGTGTGGGATAATGGAAAGATTTAAAGTCAGAGGGACCAGTTTAATCCACAGCCTTGGTGTTTATGAGCTATGTAACTTTGGGTAAGTTAGTCTTCAGAGATTTTTATTCGTTTGTTTGTAGATTCAATCAGGGCTTTTCAAACTGTTTTTTGTTCTGTTTTTTTTTTTAATTATTCCCTACCTTCCAATGAAACATTATCTTCAAATGGAGCCTAACATTAAAGCAGATCAAAGTAGAATTCCCCTTTTTGAAGGAGG